ATTCATCCCATTTTGGAGATGGGGAAACTGAGGCTTTCAGACTCACAAAGCTTGCTGAAGAACCTGGATTAAACCTCAGTTCTTAATCCAGAACCAAGCTCGTAACAGCAACCCTATGTAACTTCTAAGCACACAGATAATGCACAATAATTGGTGGCAATTATTATCATGTTATTTCCCCCAAGTGCAACTAAATAGGGCTTGAATTCCACAGGGGTCCTCAGCCCAGATCCCAAGAGCAAAAGAAGTGTTGTCTTCCCCCGGCCGTCAGCAGGTAGGATGGCCGCCCATGCCTGGTGTTTCCGAGGTTGCCATGTCCTTGACAGAGAGGTTTCGCCAGGGCCCCTGCTCGCTCATGTTTTCCTTAAAGGGTGGGCCCTTCTGCGACACTCTCTCTGGGTCCCCGAGTGTCTTCCTGATGCACATCACCACTTGTTTCTTCCCTCCTCGGTTTAGGAGATAAGAGCAAGTAATTGTCTTTTATAGACACTGTAATGAAGCCTGTCATCACACAAAAGAAGTTTGCTAATAAAATAAATCAAAGCAGCAATGAAAATGAATAGGGAGCAAGCTTTTACAATTAGATTTGTACTTGTCTGGTGGCATGGTGCTTCCACGAGAAGTGAGACGGCTGTTCCGCAGGGGAGAAAGGCGCTCAGAAACGAGATGATGGGCAAACTCCTCAAGGCAGAGGAACACGGTGCCCAGGGCAGGCACCTGTGTCCCCTGTGGGCTTGGAGGCTGGCAAGGGGCCGGACAGAGAGGGAGGGAGGGAAGCCGACAGAGAGGGGTTGCAGATACATCATCTCGGTGGTCTGTGTGTGTCCCCAGCCAAATGTGATCTGGCTTCGACTACCGCTGCTCCCCTTCTCTTTGCCATCAGCTGGACTCTTTCCCCGCCCATGTGTTTCCTGGGGGAGAGAATACCCTGGGGCACCCGGACCCCATGTGGTGCCCCATGAGTGTGCCCCAGCCCTGCCTGGCCCTGTCATTCTCATGGTCAGTTACAGGTTCTGCCACCAAGTCAAGTAGAAAAACTACTTCATGGGGCACCCGGGTGGCTCAGTTAGTTAAGTGTCCAACTTTGGCTCAGGTCATGATATCATGGTTTGTGGGTTCGAGCCCCATGTCCGGCTCTGTGCTGACAGCTCAGAGCCTGAAGCCTGCTTTGTATTCCATGTCTCACTCTCTCTCTATCCCTCCCCCGCTCATGCTCTGTCTCTCTCTTTCTCTCTCTCAAAAATGAATGATTACCATTTAGGAAATCAGGCTGTAGGATAAAAAACATGATGGTGTTGGGCAAAAGAGCAAATGCTGTATAATTTCAACATGGTGGTATTTCTCATTCTTGTGCAAACAGAAATGGCAAACGCAGTCAAGTTTGGTACAGTCACGCATTAAGCGAAGGGCTTTTCATGATTGTCTCATGCCCTCGGCAGCCTTATAAGTTATTAGTGACCTGCTATGCCCAGGTCACAGACAAGGAGACTGCGGCTCCCCAGGTGAATGCCTTGTGCCAGGTCACACAGCTGCACCAAGTGGCACTGGGAATGGAGTGTGGCGTGTGCTCATAACTCCTATGCTGTGATCGTCATGGGTCTTGTGTGGCTCTTGCCTCAGTTGTGAAGGAAGGTGGGAGAGGACCCTAAAGGTGCACAGGTGGGCAACCTGGGCGATGAGCAGAACCATGGGACCTGGGATCCAAGACCACCACCTCTGGCCACCCAGTGTGAGTCATGACACCATTCTGTGCCTCCGGCTTTTGTCATATTCCCAGAGGTAGAGTCCCCTCCAGTCTTGGGATCCAGCCAGATACCTCTTCAGGCTGTTCAGGTGCTCGCAAAGGACTCAGGAGTTGGCAGCAGCTTTAGCTGAACAGGTTATCTGTCTCTAAAGGCAGTTCCCATTCTAAGCTGGCTGGCAGCAAAGGGCAGGGAGGCTGAGGAGTAAACCCATCGTCTGAAGCCAAGACTTCTGGGCTCCAGACGTCCTGGGAATCTGCAGGTGGTTTGGATGCCTCAAACCTCTCAGCAGATCAAGGTCACCCTGGTCCCTCAGGAACCTTCAGGCTAGTGGCCAGCACGGTCAGGGCCAAAGAAACCAGAGGTCACAGCAAAGAGAAGGATTTGGAGATTGATCGTTGCCTACATAAAGAACAGTTCTCTGCCAGGCAGAGCTGGAGACACAACCTTGTTAGCTAATGCGAGTTTAATATAGAGTCAGGGGAGCTGGACGCCAGCCTAGTCAACTGCCCAGGAGACCGTCAGAAATAGAGCGGAGTAAGGTGTCCCCCATCTGCTCCGCGCCACTCTACCTCCCGAAAGGCAGGGGCGGCCCAGCAGCAAGCTGGGCGATACCCTCCAGACAAAAGCACCACTTCCACGTCAGTCATTTTGTATAAAGGAAGAGTTATTGTTATGGGAGGCTGGCGCCTGATCAATATCTCCTGCTTTGAAAATAAACTTCTTGGCTTGGCCTTGACATTAATCTACCATCAGGAGCCCATTATCTCAAGACCAATGTTCTGTTCTATTGACTTGCTCAATTTTTTTTCTCCCCCAAGAGCGGACTGTAATTGCATGCCTCCAGGCAGCCCTTGCACTCATTGCAGCCCCATGCAGACATGTCCCCTTGTAGGAGGCCCGGGATACGGCACGTCTGGGGTGGGATGGAGATGGTGGCTGGCAGAGGGTCATGGGGGGCTGAGGACAGAGCACAGAATCGGGGTTACAGACGCTCCCACTCCTACTCGTCATTGACAAACGAGGGAATGTGGGAATAAATGAACAAAAATGTCCCAAGTGCAGCTGGGCCCTACCATCGTCACCACAGCCCCCACAAACCCCAAGCCACGACTGCCTCCCGGGCCTTCCCTCCCCCAGACGTGCCCCCTGCAGCCCATTCTCCACCCCACAGGCAGAGTCCTCTTCAGAAAGTAGAAACTGGATCATGTCGTCACTCTCCCTGAAGACTTTCGGGGAAGCCTCCGTGTTCTTCCCTGCAAGACCCTTATGATTGTTCTGCTCAGCCCTCTGACCTTCCCTCCCATCTCTGCTTCTACTCCAGGCCTCTGGCTTTCTCTGTTCCGTGATGAAGCCAAGCTGGCCGTACCTCAGGGCCTTGACACTTGCTTTTCTCTCCACCTGTTCTCTCACCCCTTGGATCTTTATATTACTTTTACCTTCTCCTTATTTAAGTATCATATCTAATATTCCCTTCTAAGTAAGGATATCCCTGACTGGCGCAGGTAGCATATCATCTCAGAGATCCATGCAATGAGTCTTTCCAGATACCTTGCTTTGGCTTTTTTAGAGCACACATCGCCGTCAGAAACTTGCTTTCTGTAGTGCTTATCTACTGCCACAGGAAAAAATACCCCCGAACATGCTGTAATAGACAGTGTCGTGAGGTTTGCGCGGGTCAGGGGCTTGGGGGTGACTTAGCAGGACATTTCTGCTTGAAGCTCTCATGAGGTTGTAGTCAGGGTATCCACCAGGGCCATGGTCATCCGAAGGCTGGACCGGGCCTGGAAGATCCCTTTCTAAGATGGCATATGGCTGGCACGTCGGCCCTATTAGCAGAAGGCCCCCTGCCCCTCACCCCCTGGATCTCTCCACAGAGCTGCTCAGGTGTCCTCACAGCATGGCAGCCAGATGCCCCAAAGCAGGTGACCCCCACGGAGGAAGGTGGAAGTCACAGTGTCTTTTATGACTCCCATTTCTGCAGTTCTCCTTTGGTTACATGGGTTAGCCCTCATGTGACTCATTCGGGAGGGAGGTGTCTCAAGGGGCAAAGAGCAGAAGGTGAGGATCACTGGGGGCCATCTTGGAAGTGGCACACCACACTCACCCTCCGTGAGAACGAGGGCCCTGGCAGACTCAGCACTGTGTGTGCCCCACACAAGGTCTGGCATGTAGCAGAGACCCCCTAAATCTCAACCAGGTGTCCGAGTGAATCATTAGCGTGTGTCACTGTTACGACTGCGCGAAGTCTTGTGCTGAATAAGCACTTCACGTGCAATATCTCACCCCCCACGGCCTACCTCATTCACTCCTCTACAGACGAGGAAACTGAATCTCAGAGAGGTGAAGTACCTTGATCCAAGTCGCAAACCTGGTAAGAGTCTGAGCCAGCGTTTGGACCTAGGACTGCTGAGGACAGCCTGTGTAGGCTGGGCCACTCAGGGGATGTGAGTCAGCGTTGATGGTACTTAGGAAGAATTCCCAGATTGCCATCCGATCAGCATGCAGTCACACTCGGGAGCTCTTCGTGACGCCAGAGATGTAGGAAAAGAAGGAGAAACTTCAGATCACTCTCTACGGTGATACCCAGCTGTGTGGCTTAGTGAGCCAGACTGCAGAGAAGGCAGGGCAGGGAGCTGCTGCCTCTCCTCAGGGTGACCCAGCAAGATCTCCGAGGAAACTCCAGAACCTGGTGCCACAGTCAGGAAATACACAGGGCCTATGTGCCATCTCTTCCCCTCTCATACCTGTGGCGGACATCACCAAGGTGATCACCACATTCTCCCACTGAGCCCCCACTGCTGCCTAGAATTCTCACCACAGCTCTCCCCACACATGCACCTGTTCGGAGCCCAGACTCTGGAGTCGGCTAAAGCCAGGTTTAAATTCTGGCTCCACCACTCCCTAACCCTGTGACCTTAGACAAGCTTCTTGGCTTCTCTGAGCCTCAGTTTCTTCATCTGTAGAATGGAGCTTCATTACTACCCACTTCACTGGTTTTCTGACAAGGCTTAAATGCAGTTGTGCATGGGGGGCTTGGAGCAAAGAGCGTGGCAACGAGGAAGCACTCAGTGCTGTCAGCTGTTGAAAACTGCTGTTGTTATTACTCTGTTTTCCTCATTCTGTAAATGGGGGCTTTAATAGACAGTCCCAAGCTGATGCTTTCAATGAATGTATTGGAGGAGGGGACAGTGGCCTTGAAGGGGATGGTGAATGAAAGGCAGAACTGTCATCTTCTTTCTTCTTCCCACCCTACAGGTGTGGATGTGTGGAGGCCGCATGGAGGACATCCCCTGCTCCAGGGTGGGCCATATCTACAGGAAATACGTACCCTACAAAGTTCCAGCGGGAGTCAGCCTGGCCCGGGTAAGACGGTGGCTCCCTGGATGGGGACAGGGCGAGGGGCTAGGCTCATCAGCAGAGCAGAGGCATCCCGAGGCACCTGGAAACTGGAAGTCAAGTGACCCACGGGTGACGATATGTGCCCCCCTTCCCCAGCTCTCCAAGTAAAATCCAATTTAAGAGAACTTACTTAAAGCCCTGCTTAACCACTTAGCAGCTGTGACCTTGAGAGAGTTGCTTAACTCCTCTGAGCCTGTGTTTCTTCCTTTACTTAAAAGAAGCTAATTTTTTTTCAACTCTTGGCATGGCCAGGAGAATTAGGGAGATGGCATCGTTACCCCAAGTGTGACAGACATGATGATTTTAAGTAGCAGATATAGGAACATTTTTATTTACATGTGTTTAAATTAATGTGCTTTAGAAATTAATATGTATTAGTGTAGCAACCTTGTGATTTCACAGATATTACTAGGATAAAGCTAATTTAAGTGCAGAGTTAGACCAGAAGTGATTTAAAGAAGCCTATTGTTAGCTAAAAATATATTAATCCAGGTGGAGTGGTGTGTTTAGGGAAGCCGGAGACAAGGCACTGAAAAGTTACTGGCATGAGGGTGGTTAATAAATATCAGGATCGTTCTCTTCTCCCCACCCCCTCCCCACTAACATTGCCAGAAATTCTGTATGTCAAACTATTTCATTACCTTAAAATGGTTTGTATTAATCGCTGATTGAATTAAATTGGCCACTGGCTACAAATAGAAATCTGTTAGCCAGAGATTTGTTTTGGGGGCTGTTTTGTTTTTTGTATTAATGATATTTCACTGAGCCGTAAATTTTGAAATATTAAGTGTCTTGAGAAAACAAAAATATAAAAAAACAAGGTGACCACAAAGAGAAAATGGGGCGGGGGGTAGGTAGTCCCAGAAAGTGAAGAGGGCTGCAGGGAGGTCTGGGGGAAGCTGGAAAGGTAACCAGGTAACTGGCACAGCTTGCCTCGTGGAGATCCCTTCCGGCAGAGACCCCTTGCGAGCCTATTTGGCATCAGTCTGTACAGTGTCCTTCTGCCCTAGCTATCGCATCCCCCCCACCCCCCCACCATGCGCGTGCGATGCATGCAAAACTGTAGGCCCTGGGTCAGGAAGAGCCCTCGACCTGCGAGGTACAAGGGAGACCAGACAGCCCTACTCCCAACCTGACCCGCCCCCCTCCCGCCCTACGCCCCATCCTCTGATGGGAGCTGAGCTCCGAAGGCGGCAGAGGCTGCTTTGGGGACCATGTTGAAGGAAAAGAGAGCCAACAGTGCCCTCTAGTGGTAAGAGATTCTAAGGACAGCCGCACCTACCATCCGCGTTTAGGACAGCCCATCAACGCGGGGTGGTGTGGGAAGGCGGTTCTAGATTCAGCTGGAGAGGTAGGAATCCCTTGTTTGTTTGTTTGTTTGTTTGTTTGTTTGTTTGTTTGTTTGTTTGTTTTTTGAGATCCCATTGGCAATCCCAGAGGAAGGTGCCAGGCAGGAAAACAGCACAAAGTGCTCAGTAAGCCCAAGATTGCGACTCTCAGCTACTAGGAATGGTGGGACCATGGGGACATCCCTGACCCCTGAGAAGGACTATTCCCGAAGCATCCTTTTCTTATCCGCTCATTTATAAGACCCGCCTCGTAAAAAGGCACCACCACCTCCTGTTTACTGAACCATAGATGAATTCAGTGAATAACAGCTAACTGTAGTTACACATAAAAGCTTCCTGTGGGCTAGACATTAGGCAAGGCATCTTCCATACTTATCTCACTTAATTCTCGCTTATTTTTAATCCCCATTTGAGTGATGAGGTAAGTGAAATGTAGAGACATTACCAACTAGAGCCAGAATTCAAAGGCACTTAGGTGGGACCCATGCCTGGCACAGAGCAATTGTTCCTTAAACAGTGACTGCTGTTGTTAGCATTTATGTCAGCATCCATTAACAAGACTGCGAAGTTTCTTTCAATATCTTCTCTGAATTCTGCCTTTAAACATTTTAACTTCTTTCTCACCTGTGTGTACTGTATCAGTCTCCTGTTGACTTTAAACCAGTTTAAAGCTCCCCTGAATTTTTGTCAAAGTATCTAACTACCCCCCTTGAGTTGCAGATCATATTTTAAATGTTTGCTTAGTGTTTTAACAGCCAAATCCTTATGGAGCATTATCTCCTAGAAGATCATTTTGATAGATTCGAGGAGAGGTCGTCTAAAAGCCCTAAAAGAGCTGCATAAAGAGAGAAACCAAAGTCTTACTAAAGGTGTACAGGTTCCAACAGGACAAACGGTCAGGAAGTAGCGAAGCCACAATTCAGGAAGGCTGAGCTAGCCAGCAGCTCCCCTGCCTCAAGAACAAGTAGCCAGGCTTAGTGTGTTTACTAAATTTGCTAAAAACTCTCTTGTTTCTGCCCCTGGAAACGGGTCTTAGGGAAGACAACAACACAAACCCACTCAAATTTGCAAAAAAATTTTAAAAAGTGGATTCTTCTTCCAAGCATCTAGGCAAATCTCTGTAATGCAAGTGTAAGAAAAGCAGACAGGACTGGGACCAGGAATTAGGAATGAGGAGGGATGACAGGAGCACCCAGCCTGCTAAAATCCCAGAATCCTTTGTGTGACTCTCACAAGGAGGGGGATGTACTGGAAACAAATGTAAAGTCCTTTCCTTTGGTCCAGTCAGCTGTACCAAAAGTTCAAGACATGGGAGAAATGGTTTATGAAGGCATGTCTAGAAAATGCAATATTCATTAATATAGTAACTTAAGAATCAATTAAAATCAAAACAGTATGTGATTTCTCCTTTTATAATAGCACTGGTGAATTTGGGCACCTTTCCTTGGTCAGATTGGCCACTTTGGCCTGCAGAGAGAGACAGAAAAGTATAGCAGTTCCTCACCATCCCTGTGGCATGGGCAGATTAGTGTGCCAAAGGGCCTAGGTGGGCAGACTGGGAAAAAGAGAGTCTTTGGGTCTACAAGCCTTTTTTTGGCTTTCAGCTTTCTCAGGGCACAGATTTAAATTAAGCGCACCCTTTGCTGTGCAGGGGCCTAGGCAGGTATAAGAATGTTCCTTAATTCTTTTCTAACCCGCCGTCAATCTCTTCAGCACTCAGAAAGAATGAGGCACCAGCAAGGAAATTCCAAAGCTTCCTAGTCCCAAACTCAGAGTCAGCAAAATCAAGAAGTGGGTGAAGTTTGTCGTTGGCATGCCCCCCCCCCCCCCCCCCCGCCGATGGCTTCCTTCCTCCTTGCTCAGGGGTCAGCAAACTGTTTTTGTGTGGCCTGTGGAGCTAAGAATAGTTTTTCACATTTTTAAATAGGATGAAAAAGTGAAAGAATAATATTTTGTGATACATGAAAATCAAATTTCAGTGTCCATAAAGTTTTATTGGAACACACACAATCCATTCATTTACATAAAGCCTAGGGCTCCTTTTTAGCCACCTCAGAGCTAAGACCATATGGTCTGCAAAGCCCAAAATATTTGCGATCTGACCCTTTAGAGAAAATAGTGGTCGACCCCTGCCTTATCTTCTGCTTCTAGAGATGTGAGGTGTGCAAGGTTTGAATGACTGATAACCTGCTAACTCCCTTTTACCCTTCAGAAGAAAATTTGGCTTGCACTATGGGGGAAATCCTTTGATAGCCATAAAGCCTGGAGAGTTCCATGTTGGGGGTGAAAGGCAGATTTCTGGCAACAGCCAAGGGTTGGAGAAAGATGTTTTGGAGCAGAGAATTTCCCCTGAACACTGAAGCTGAGCTCTTCGAGAACCAGCTGTCTGGGGTTCTCAGCAGGTGGTGTCTACAACTGCAGATGAAATGAGGAATTTTCATCCCAGCTAAACAGAAGAATCCAGTTTTTCTCTGTCTCCAAGTCCACTTACAAACAGGTTGTTTTCCTGACTGCTGCCTCTACTTGCCAGTAATGTGGTTGTCATTTTTATATCGATCATCCCTGTGCTTCATATTCAAAGCAGCAGCAACCTTTGTACCTCAAAGGGTTTTTTAAAATTCCACCTGCTGGTAGAATTACAACTTTTGGTTGCAAATCATCATTTGTTTTCAACCACGGTACTTGGTCAGCACCCTTAATAGGAAATGACAGAAACCCAACTCAAACTGGCATAAGCAGAAAGGGAATTCACTGACCTGTGTGAATAGAAAGTCCTTAGATAGTGCTCACTTCAGGCATGACTGGGTTCAGGTACTAAAAGGAACGTTCCTCGTCTAGCCCTCAGTTCCGCTTCATTCATTAAGCCTTGGTCAGGTTTTCTACGTGGCCCAGCAGCTCCGGCCTCCAACTTACCCAGCAATGCAAGCGGAAATGGAGCAATTCTTCCCCATAGTTACGGTGAAATTGCCAGGCTAATGTCTATTGACATTGGCTTGGCGTGAGTCACGTGGTCAGTGCTGACCAATCCCCAGACCCAGGGCTGATTCCCATGAGCAGGGCTAGTTCATGCACCTTTCCCGAAGCCCTGTGAGAGAGAAGGCCGAAGCAGAGGAGGGAGGCTACCCCGAGAAAAGAATGGAAGATGCAGGTAAAACTTCAGCCAGAAGTTGTGGAGTCCTTAAAACATGCATAAATAAATACACAAGGCTTTAAAAACATGGTGGTCTACAGTCTTTGGTGCAACATAAAATAAGAAAGATGAATCTCAACTTCCAGGACGCTTCCCCCCCCACCCCCCCAGCCGGGCCTGACCCTTCCACCTCCCTGTCGCCCTCCAGAACCTGAAGCGAGTGGCGGAGGTGTGGATGGATGAGTACGCCGAGCACATTTACCAGCGCCGGCCCGAGTACCGCCACCTCTCTGCTGGGGACGTCGCCGCCCAGAAGAAGCTCCGCAGCTCCCTTAACTGCAAGAGTTTCAAGTGGTTTATGACCCAGATCGCCTGGGACCTGCCCAAATTTTACCCGCCCGTGGAGCCCCCCGCCGCAGCTTGGGGAGAAGTGAGTCTGAAGGGCCCTTCTAGCTCCATAATTGGTGTCCAGTGCAAAATGCAAAAGCGGACCCCCTATTCACAAGACAGGCAAAGAGTGCCATTTAAGGCTTGAAATAGAAAACACGTTCCTTTGCTGATTCTCTCTAGCCTTGTGGTGGTTTTTTATATGCTACTTAATGTTCTAAGTAGAGGAAAATTAAAACTTTAATATTAGCATTAATTTTACCATTCAGCTTCATATTATGCAGTGTGAGTTTTAAATGCAAGTAGAAGAGCATTTAGCTCATGTGCCAGATGGGTGAAATTTCACAATCTGTATTTTAGCCCTCGTACGTGCATATATATTTCTTAACCAGAACAATGCAAACACAGCACAAGCTAACTCAGCTGATTTTATTTCACTTGTTGATAATGCGAACTTTCTTTAATTTTATTAAATTTTATAAAGTTTACTTACTCTAAGAGAGAGGGAGAGAATGAGTAGAGGAGGGGTAGAGAGAGAGAGAGAATCCCAGGCAAGCTCTGTGCTTCCAGTGTGTAGCCCAACTTGGGGCTTGAACTCACGAACCATGAAATCATGACCTGCACTGAAACCAGGAGTCAGTCACTTAACCAACTGAGCCATCCAGGCGCCCCAATAATGCATGCTTTCTAAACCCCTTCTATCTGTGGCTTGCTAATGAGTGAGGCAGAGCAGAAGGAAAATAAACTATTTTCCTAATGAACAGCTAAGGATTGCCCTATTCTTCCCTTCCTTCTGTGTTGTTATCTGCCGCTGGTAAGGGAAGTGGTCTGCTGGTCCAGGGAAGTAATGCAAGTAAGAGGCTACTAGAACTCCTTGGCCCCTCTTTGTGCAGTCAAGTTCTGGTTGGAAAGTGTGGCCTTCAGACATGCCAGCACCCCACCTCGTCTTAGCTGTCACTCCCATGAATGTGGGACCCCCAGGATTCTGTGCTTCTGGGGGATCACAGGTGTTACATGCAAACACAGGAAAAAGGTACAGCCAATGCTGTTTATTCTCTGTATTTAAGAGTCTCTTACGGTTTGCCTCTCTGTGTTTTTATTTTATTTTTCCTTCCCTTCCCCCATGTTCATCTGATGAGTTTCTCAAATGCCACATGAGTGAAACCATATGATAACTGTCTCTCTCTGACTAACTTATTTCATTTAGCATATTACCCTCCAGTTCCATCCATGTTTTGCAAATGACAAGATTTCGTTCTTTTTCATTGCCAAGTAGTATTCCGTTGTATACATATACCACATCTTCTTTATCCATTCACCAGTCGAACACTTGAGCTCTTTCCATAATTTGGCTGACACATGAAAAGATGCTCAACATCACTATCAGGGAGTTATAAATCAAAACCGCATTGAGATACCACCTCACACCTGTCAGAATGGCTAAAATTAACCCAAGAAACAGCAGATGTTGGCGAGGATGTGGAGAAAAGGGAAGTCTTTTGCACTGTTGGTGGGAATGCAAACTGGTGCAGCCCCTCTGGAAAACAGTATGGAGGTTCCTCAAAAAAGAATTAAAAATAGAAGTACCCTATGACCCAGCATTAGCACTACTATGAATTTATCCAAAGGATAAAAAAATGCTGATTCGAAGAGGCACATGCACCCCCAATGTTTACAGCAGCACTGTTATTAAAAATTTTAAGACCACGACAGCAGAACTTTAAACCAATGACAGCGCCTTCTGAGTGAGGGGTGCTAGGCCGCTACCCATGTCACACTCATGAAGCCCATCCTGCCGGGGGAGGCAGACCATCTTCTAGGAGAAGCAGCGCTCTGTCACCAGATTCTGGCTCCTGGTCTCTGAGCTGAGATGGACATTCTAGGACTGGGGGACAAGGAGCATAAGAGTTAGATCTCCTTCCTTGTAGGTGACAAGTCCAATCTGAAGTGAAAAGAGAAATGTATTGAATCTCGTAGAAACTTTGGGTAGCTGTGACTTCAGACACATCTGGATCCAGTGGCTCAAATGATGTCAGTTCACCTCTGCTGCCATTGCTGTTAGCCTCATGCTGAGGCTAGCAAGATGGTTTCCAGAAGCTTGAAGCTGACCCAGCAACAGAAGGTAGATGCCTGCCAGTAAAGCCAGCACCGGTTCAGGAATCAAGTCTGATTCTCTGGTCTGGACCAACCACTGTGGCCACTGGAGGAAGAGGGAAAGCAGGGGTGGACAGACACACTGAGAGCCCACAGAGTGGGCAAAGGGTGGTGGCCCCCTAGAAAATCAGGGTGCCGAGGAAGGAGTGATGTGTTTGGGCCAGCAGAAGCACCAGGTGTGGCTTGTTCAAATTCACACAGCAAGTTAGAGGGGCCTTTCCTGACTAAGCTGTGGGGCCCGCTCTATCCAACACCAGCATCGATATCTAGAAGAGGTGTCCTGTTGACTTCCCTCATGAACCTCTTCATTTCTCTGCTGGTTTATTGGCTTTCTCCCCTGTATTAGGGCCAGTCCTCCGATAAGCAGATACCAAGAGACTTGTTGGGGGAACGCCTGAGAGAAGGAACGAGAAGGGAGCCAGGAGAGGCTGGGAGATCTGCTGTGGGGATGCTCTGCCCTCTGAGAAGGGACGAGGGGGGGGAAGGGCTGGCGCAGGAGGAGTCCCACGCTGCAAGGATGCACTTGAGCCAAGTTACTGAGCAGTCTTTGAGCCAAATCCATCAGAGGAGTCGGCATCTCCCCGGAATGGGCCTCTGCCACAGCACCCCTGTCCCCTCCGTCGCTGGCTGGAAGCAGCCCATGGGAAGCACGGCCTCCCCTCAGACACAGTGGATTCAGAACACATCAGCCGGGCAGTCAGACTCCCTGCAGCAGGACAGCTGAGGGACACGTTTTCACGGCCACCACACCTCCAACCCCTCAGTCAAGATAGGGATGATTCTGGGGCGCCTGGGTGGCTCAGTCGGTTAAGCGTCTGACTTTCGCTCAGGTCATGATCTCGTGGTTCTTGGGTTCGAGCCCCGTGTCGGGCTCTGTGCTGACTGCTGGCTCAGAGCCTGGAGCCTGTTTCAGAGTCTGTGACTCCCTCTCTCTCTGACCCTCCCCTGCTCACGCTGTCTCTCTCTCTCTCTCCTAGAAATAAATAAAACATTAAAAAAAAAAAAAAGATAGGGACGATTCTGTGAGGCGGGAACTACACGGTGGGGCACCTGTACCGGACGGGGGCCTTTATTTAGGTCATGAGCGCTGGCTGAGCAGCGAGGCCATCGGCTCTGAGCCCGGCACTCCTTCCGCCACACCACACCCTGTCTTACTGAAACTCCGGTTGTTCTTTGGCTCGAGAACCTCTTGCCATTCACCTGCTCTCTAAGGCCAAGACCCCACAGCAAAGAGGTCCTGTCCTTTTCAAGGGTCGTTTTCAAGATATGGTCCCTGGGTCACCTGCAATGGAGGTAAAATTCAGTTCCTGGATGTGCTGGATCAAATTCTCTAGGAATAGAGCCAGGGAGTCCTTCGAATACCACCCCCCCCCCCAACTTCCCGGTCTCCACCGCCAGCCACCCTGTGACTTTGCATGCTCTAGGACAAAGCTGGCTTTGGAGGAGCTCCTCTCCACGGACTGATTCTTTCTTTATTGAGAGGCGCAAGGCACTTCTCCCACCCCAGGGCAAGCTTCATTAAGACAATGCAGAGCTGGGGCGCCTGGGTGGCTTAGTCGGTTAAGCATCCAACTTTCACTCAGGTCATGATCTCGCGGTTCGTGGGTTCGAGCCCCGCGTCGGGCTCTGTGCTGACTGCCAGCTCGTAGCCTGCAGCCTGTTTCAGTCTGTGACTCCCTCTCTCTCTGACCCTCCCATGCTCACGCTGTCTCTCTCTCTCTCCTAGAAATAAATAAAACAAACAAACAAAAAAAAAGACAATGCAGAGCTCCCCCTATCTGATGCCTAGCTGGGTTCTCTCCTCCTATCCCAGCAGGGTCCCAGGGGACTATCTCAAGGTGCCTCACCAGTCTACTCTTTCCTCCTGTCTCTTTCAGATTCACAATGTGGGCACAGGGCTGTGTGCCGACACGAAGCACGGGGCCCTGGGCTCCCCACTGAGGCTGGAGAGCTGCGTCCGGGGCCGTGGGGAGGCTGCCTGGAACAACATGCAGGTGAGGGCCACTTCTCAGGGACTGGCAGCCAGGTTTCCCTGGGCCATCTGTAGCCTGGAATGCTCACATGGTCAGGGCAGGGAAAGAGAGGCCAATGGTCAATGACGAGTGACAAAGCTAGCCCAGGGGAGGAGTTATAAGAGTTTTCACAATACCTGAAAAGAGGAATCCTTCACACTGCAATAAAATCAGCAATCTGGTCTGTTGCAAATGACAGGCACTCAGCTCAAATGACCTTCAACAAAGAGAAGGGCATATTGGCTCAAGCATGTCATTGAAAAGCTTAGATGATGTCATCAGGACCTCTCCAGGGTCTCAACTCTTCTTCCTCTCTGTTGGCTTCATCCTTCACCTGGCTCTTCCCACATGGTGGCAGATATGATCACCAGCAGCAAAGGCTTCCAACCCAGTGAAAAGGCATGTCCCTTTCCAGAGTGCTGGGAAAGCCATGGGGTGCTCACATACTGGCTTTCCTGAGCCAGTTACAGTAGAAGATGTGATACAGTCCTCCCGTTAATCAGGCCCACGTCACATGCCCACTCCTGAAGCCTGCAGTGTGGTCATCCTCGCCTGAAGGGTGGGGAGAGGAGTGAGGAGGGCAGGCTCCCCAGAGGATCGTGCCCAGGGAGGTGTTATCAGAAGAATGAAGGGTACAAGCCAGCGGTGCAGGAAAGGCACCACACTCAAGAAACTGCATTTAGCTTTCCATGATCCCCACTACCAACAGTTAACCCCAAAATCACACCGCATCCCACATCCACTGAATCTTGATTCGAGAGAACATTTTTATAGTCTTATTGTGGATTTTCTGACATTTTGGAAGTGCCCACTGATGGAAGCCCGTATTGTGGGACCAGTGCCAGCCTCCCTCTGAAATCCTTCCTGCTCTCTTTCCTCCTTTCCTGGTGACAGTTCTTATGAGAAGTGGCTCTCCTTCATCGGTTCTCCTAAATTCTTCAGGGCAGCATGTGGCTGCTCCCCACACCCACCCCATAAAAGAGGCCAGGAGGAGACAGCACAAGGCCTGAGGAAAACGTGCCTTGGGAACTCAGCCTAGGATAGCCTCACTGTGTGACAGAGTCCACACTAATGAGTCACTCAAACAGGGAACAGATTGGTGCCTGCTATGCCAGCCTCCACTCTCTGAAATGGGACGTGTGGCAGCCATGCCCCAGTGGGATCTATATCCCCTGGGGCTCTCAAACACCCTGCGCAGGGAGCTCTTATGAGCCTGAAAAGGGAGAAATGGGAGTCTCAGATGCAGAAGACCCAGGAAATAATCAGGAGGCAGTAGCTGGCAGAACCACTCCTGGCCAACATGGTGTCCACTCCTGGCCAACATGAAGTGGGACAATGGGGACTGGATTTACCCTCCTGCCAGAAACAACTGAAAACACACACACAAAATATGTGAAACACTCTTTTTGAGAGAGCAGACAACAGGGGATTCTATTAAAGAGACTGATGTTCTGGTTGTAAACCATCCCTCAAAGAAAAATCCAGGCCCAGATAGATTGATTGGTGAATGCTACAAAACACTTAAGCAATGTTACCAACTTTACAAACACTTTTCCAGAAAGAGAGGGAATACTTGCCACCTTATTTTGTGAGACCAGCATTACCTTAACAGCAAAACTGGACTGACATTATACGAAAATTACAGACCAATATCTCTGGTGAACATAGGTGCAAAAAGTCTAAACAGAATTTTAGAAATTCCTATCCAACAGTATGTAAAAGGGATAATACATCATGACGAAGTATAATTTATCCTAGAGATACATGGTTGGTTGAATATTAGAAAATTAATCAATAGAGTCACCATTTTAACAAACTGAAAAAAAAAAAAAAAAACCCATATAATCACCTTATACCCAGAAAAAGCATGTGACAAAATCCAGCATTCATTCCTGATAAAAACTCCCAGTAAACCGGGAACGAAAGGGAACTTTCTCAACTTGATCAAGGTCATCTGTAGAAAACAAGCAGCTCACATCAAACTCATGGTAGAAATCTGCATGCTTTACCCCTAATACCGGGAATAATACAAGGATGCTGACCTTACTGTTTTTTGTTTTTTTTTTTTTTAATTTATTTCTGAGAGAGAGAGAGAGAGACAGCATGAACAGGGAAGGGTCAGAGGGAGAGGGAGACACAGAATCTCAAATAGGCTCCAGGCTCTGAGCTGGCTGTCAGCACAGAGCCTGACGCGGGGCTCAAACCCACGAACCGTGAGGTCATGACCTGAGCCAAAGTCGGACACTTAACCAGCTAAGCCACCCAGGCGCCCCAGTGACCTTACTGTTTCTATTTGACACTGTACTGACCTGTGGCAAGAAAAAGAAATAAAAGTCATGCAGACGGGTGAAGAAGGAAAATAATTTGTAGACTATATGATCATCTTTATTTGTGGACTATATGATCACCTTTGTGGAAAATTCTATTGAATCTTCAGAGAAACTGCCAGAACTAATAAATGAACTTTATCAAAGTTATGAGACACAAAAATCAATTGTATTTCTACATATGAATAATGAAGCATCAGAAATTAAAATTAAAACATGTCAAAATTAAATGAGTCAGGGGCGCCTGGGTGGCTTAGTCGGTTAAGCGTCCGACTTTTGCTTAGGTCATGATCTCGCAGTTCGTGGGTTCGAGCCCCGTGTCGGGCTCTGTGCTGACAGCCAGCTCAGAGCCTGGAGCCTGTTTCAGAGTCTGTATCTCCCTCTCTCTCTGACCATCCCCTGCTCACGCTGTCTCTCTCTCTCCTAGAAATAAATAAAAATATTTTTTAAAAAAATTAAATGAGTCAAAATGTATCAAATTGTGTACTTTAAATGTGTGTGGTTTATTGCATGCCACTTAACTCTCCAGTAGAGCTGCTGGAAAAAGTGCTTATCAACCAAATACAGTAGTGAACCTGGTTTGGATCCTGATTCAAACAGACTAACTGTGAAAAGAAACTTACAAAGCAATTTAAGAACATTTGAATCTTACTTGATGACATTGAGGACTTGGCAGCAAGTTTTTATTGCTATAATGGCACTTTAGTGAAGTATTTACACCTGACATGATATGATGTCTGTAATTTGCTTCAGAATAACGTTGAGGTGGGGGTTGTGTAGGGGGTAAAACTGTAACAAGATTCACCATGAGTTGGTAATTGTTGAAGCGGGGTGATTGGAAAAGGTGTGGTCAATACGGTGTTCTGGACCTCTACGTTTAACATTTTCTATCATTACAGAAAAGAGAGGGGCGCCTGGGTGGCTCAGTCGGTCGAGCATCCAACTCTTGATTTCAGCTCATGATCTCATGGTTGTGGGATCGAGCCTCGCATCCGGGTCTGCACTGACGGCATGGAGCCTGCTTAGAATTCTCTCTCTCCCTCCTCCCTCTGCCCCTCCGCTACACACACACTCTCACTCTCTCCCTGGTTTTGCTGTCCCTATGACGATGTCCCTATATGTATAGGTGTTCACCTTCACCTGGAGAGAGGACATCCGGCCTGGAGACCCCCAGCACACCAAGAAGTTCTGCTTTGACGCCATCTCCAACACCAGCCCGGTCACCCTCTATGACTGCCACAGCATGAAGGGCAACCAGCTGTGGAAATATCGCAAAGTAAGGAAGGCTGTGTGGGTGGAGCAGGGCCAATCGCTTGGTTTTAAACCAAGAGAAGCAAACAGACATGCAGCACCTCACTTCTTACCCCAGTAGAGCATGCTTGCCCGTGCCTTCGCTCCACACACTCGCCATGCCCAGCTCCTCTGTCATTTGAGAGATACCAGAAACCCAGAGTTTTATGTGAAATCTGTACAGTCTTAAATGCTGGCAGCCGAGTCCCTAAAACAATACCACACCATCATGAGAACCAATGAAATTTAGCCAGAGACGAGATGATTAGGGCCCAGCCCCGGAAGTGGCACACAGGTAACTTCCATCCGCATCCCAGGGGGCAGAGCTCAGGCACAGGGCGAGGCCACCTGCGGGGTGGGGGCAGGGCAGTGCCTCACTTTGCTCAGCAGGGAAGCCTCGCGGGTCAGTGCACGGCTGGCCAGCTGCTGCCTCACTGCCTCACTGCTATCACTGCTGCTGCCGTTGGTTCAGAGCCCCAGCGCCGCCCAGCTGATGACCTCCCTGTTTTGTAGGACAAGAGCCTGTACCACCCCGTCAGCGGCAGTTGCATGGACTGCAGTGGAAGTGATCACAGGATCTTCATGAACACCTGTAACCCCTCTTCTCCGACCCAGCAGTGGCTGTTTGAACACACCAACTCGACAGTCTTGGAAAAATTCAATAGGAACTGAGCCCTGGCGTCTCCTCCGCGGGCCTGGCGGAGTCCTCTGCAGGCGCTGCTGGCACCTTTCCCCTCCCGAGGGACCCAGGGCTTCCGTGGGCAGCGTGATGCGAAAGGCGCTGGCCAGCCGGTCAAGGGCAGAGAAGGCTCTTACGGCTGGAGCAGGAGGTCCGCCTGGTCCTTGAGGCCCAGTGGTAGCTGTGTGGGGGGAGAACAGACCCCACATGAGGCCCCACAAAGCAGTGCCTGCTTTAATCCCTGATGGCATCATGGAAATCCAGGAGGGCCTTATCGACTTTGTCACCACGTTCCCTTGAGCACTATGTGGGGTGAAAGCCAAGGCAGCCCTCAGCCACCCAAAAATGGGTCCTACAAGGTTGCCTATCTTTGAGATGGCTCGTACATGATGGCCCTTTACAAAAAGAGGCCCCTGTTGTTTGTCTGGGCAGCTCGTAGCACCTAAGCCATCCGTCCGCTGCGGAAGGGAAGGAAGGGAGTCTTTCTCAGGGCCACTGGTTTCAGCCCTTTAGTTTCTGCCTGTCATGGAGTAACTGCAGTTACTGCCCGGCTTCTCTTCTGTCACAGCCCCAGGTGATGTGCTCGAAGGCCACACCTGTAGCCTCAGAGTGTTCAATACTGAACACTGGCCAGCTGCCAGGCTGGGGGTCAGGAGCGGGACCTCTAGACGTTCCTTGGCCGCCATGGACACGTGGGATGTTTCTCCTTGCTCTCTGGGCACGTGACAGCTCAGCCACCGGCTCTTCGGGGCTGGGCTTCAGATGGCTTTGGGCCCATGGAAAAGTCCTAGTAGAAGACCTCCAAACGAGATACTCTGGCTGAATTTCCCTGATCAGTTCTTCCATTTTCCTCTTTCTCTCTTGGGCAATTACTTGCCTCAAGAAAGGAGCAGACGTGTGAAGCGCTCACCTCCCAAAGTCTGGAGGCCTCCCAGGTGGACTGTGGGCAAGATGCCCAGCTTCTGACCTCATCGTGGCTCCAGTTCTCAGAGAGAACTGTAGAATTTTTGTAGAACTATACCATTGGATCACAAACTAGAACACTACATAGGATTCTGGCATTCTAGCATCCAGTTAGGATTTCTAGAATACTGTGATTTAAAAGAGCCAGCCAAGTGTAATACAGTAAGGCAGCCGGCCCCCAGCCTAGAGACAGTCTTTGAAATCCAAGGCTGGTGGTGTCAGGGGGTGTGGGTGGGTGACCTGTGTCCATCAGCTTGTACCAGAGGCCTTGGTATGACACGGTCCACAGCGCAGACCCAAAGCCCTACACCTTCTGCCACCTTCGCAGCTGCAGTGGAGGAAACCCCGGGTTCATGAGCAGGCCAACACCCAGCTCCATGCCAGTCCCTCGTTGTTTACCGTTTGCTTTGTTAATTATGTGTCAGACTCCCAGAGGGCTCCCAAGCTAATAGGAAGCATTTCTGTAACCAACCTGCCACCCACTGATTTGGAAATGGAATTCGCATTCTACAACCTATGGCTCCCACCAGCTAGTCCAGGAAATCCTGGAAATCGGTGTTCCAATTAGAGCTGGATCTCTTGATTGTGTCATTTACCAATTAAATGAGACATTAACCTGGGAACAGAGACATGGATCTGCCTTTGAGATGCTGGCTGATCTCAAGGCCATCAGTTATCAGGGTGGGGGGATCAGGAAATAAAACACTCCCAACCACCAACCCCCCAATTAAGCGTATAGCTGGCAAAGCATCACTTCCTCCACTTCTGCCCCCACACAAGCCCTGCCCTGGCCGCCTGTCCCCAGGAGAGCCGGCCCCTGTGCGTGCCACAGCTTGCTTGTCCATCCCTCCATGTCTTTTCCTAATGAGTGCCATATCCTTAGAAGTGGCCCTCCATAGGAAGGAGTCCAAAGATGAGGCCCCTTCCAGGATCTAGGAGAACAAGAGTTGCAGTTTGGAGAGCTGAGTTAGGGTTCATCATCAGAGAGCAATGCAGCATCATTAAAATAAAAACTGTGCCTTTTAAAAAGAAAAAAAATGCAAATGTACAGCAAATCCCTAAACTTGAACAATTTCCTAGTGCCTTGCTAGACAAACATAAAGGGGCAGGGTCGGGGGGGGAGGGGAAACATTGGTGGTGGTGTGTGCAGTTTCTGTTGGATGAGTGTGTGTTTCTTAACTTCTAGTCTCAAGCAGGAGACGTTGGGCCTAGAGCAGGATCTAGGAGACGGAGAGGCTCCTCAAGGGCCAGAGGCTGGAGTTACTCCAGTTCGTGCAAGTAACCCTCGAAGTTAAAAGGGCAGCTGGACAACTCATTTCATCCATGGCCTAGAAGGGCCTCAGCAACCCCTGGAAGACCCCAACTGATGCCCAGTAAAGCAGCTGGGAGCCTGTGAGATGCTCTCATCTGGGCCGTGAGTGAGGATGTGGGCCCCTTGTCCTCCCTTTGTTCTGAGCACGAGGTCACAAAACAGGTGCTGCCAGAAAGTATCATGACCGTGTGGCCCACCAGCAGCCTTTCCAAAGGGGGACTCCAGAAACATTTTGGAACACAGAGAGCATCTTTGCTGTGAATACAAGGCCTTTGGAGGTGGCTAAATGTTCAAGCACATGTGTGAAAAGCCCTTTCACTGTGTGCCTCCAGCTGGAGCTTTCGACTTTTAAGATAGTCCAGGAGCCATCTATTCTCCCCTTGTGAAAGATCTAGTCAGAGGCAGAAGGAGCCACTTCCACAGGGGATGTGGCGTGAGGCCTAGGGGAGCAAGAGTAGTTCCTGTTGAAGAGGCAGCATGTAGATTCCCAAAGTCCATACTATATTCACTTTCCAGACCTACCTGTTGAATTTCTTTGTCTCCTTAAGAAAGAGATGATACCCTTGAAAATGGCTCCATATTTCTTTCCGGTATCTTCATTTTTCTAGTCTCTGGAATCTCAAAAGAGCAGCAAAGCACTTTACAGTAGTAACTGAGAATTGCTATAACTGAGGATTCCTTGCTTCAGCGATCTCTAGTTTGTACACATTGGGTGATCTTTTATAATTCCTGGGAGGCAATGCATTTTTAATGTTTTCTGAAGATTTTTAAGTGCGGGAGAGGGGCAAGGAGTGCAGTCCAATGTGGGAATTCTTTTCTACTTGCAACTGATGCTCTTTGTGAAAATCCAAGTAATGTTTCAGTTCAAACTTGATCTTGAGCCAAGGCCAAGGCCCACTGCCACCTCTGGGTGGGAGTTGGACCTACAACCCAAGTGACAAAGTCCTCTTAACATCCACTCCCCAGAATGGCTGAATCAAAGCCACTCCAGACAACTGAGTTGGGCTCCTGCTCTGTTTTTGGCTTGAAGCCTGGGATCCCAAAGGGACTACAGACAGGGAATATTGAGATGGCAGACTGGGATTCTAAACAGAGAGCTCAAGACCACCAGCCTCTCTTCTCCTGCCTGTAAAAGTGAGCCTTTGTGATGAACTGACTCACTGTGTACAATTGTGATTGTGATCATTGTTGAGTAAACCTCCAGACTTTCTCTAACGTGTTCTCTGGCTTGTTCTTGTCATGCACCATTTTCCAGTTCGTCATTCCCCATATTTTCAGGGAGTGTTCAGTACCCAGGACCTCTGCTAGCTACCAAACAAGTCCCCAACAGCCATCCTTCTAGAGAGGAAGGCGGACCTCAAACAACTAAGCAAGATGACTCTAGATGTGAGTAGGGCTATGAAGAATATAAACCAAGATGTCTGAGAGACTGGATTGGGGGTCAACGTTAGGTAGGCCGATCAGAGCGTGCCTCTCTGTGAGAGCTGGAAGACATGAGGGAGTCTGAGCCAAGAGGCACTTTGGGGGAGAGAGTTCCAGGCAAAGGGAATCACTAGTGCAAGAGCCCTGAGCAGGAAGGAGTTCCCGTGTTGAAGGCATAGGAGGTGAGCTCACCGGTTTAGGTGGGGTAGCCCACACAGACTACAGCCAGGAATGGAAGACTTCAGGAGGGGAGGACAACATGACATAGCTCATTTCTGATGCTCACCCATCAGCCACAAGTTTCTACCTTTGAAAACGTTGTGATGCTTTTGAATATTAGGTTTGTATAATTTGTGTAACACCACATTGTAGAAACAGCACTGGCTGGCCCGGCTCTGCAACAGACTATGAGGTCTTGGGCAGATCCTGCCCCCTATCTAGACCTCAGTTTTCTGCCATAAAATGGCAAATTTTTGGATGATGATTCCAGCTCCACCTCTGGTTCTGTGGTTGAAACAGTGTGGGACTACCAGTGACCACGAGCCCGAGCTGCCTGCTGGTGCTGTCCTCAGAGCCCACCAGAGGGCGCTGTAGACCACAGCTTAGAGAAGGCTGATTAACTGGGTAGAAATTTGTTCACTGGCCTTCTAAGCCCTGGAACCAGAAGATAGATTAAGTTAATTTTCTTCTAAAATGTAAATGGTTTCTTTAAAAAGATTAAATTCTTTTACTATGGACAAAGGAAGAGAGGGAAGAACATTCCAGGTGTAGGGGCAGCATGTGCAAAGATCCTGTGGAGGGACATGAAAGGTATGAAGGTCAGTGAGGTGGGAGCAGAGTGAGCAAGAAGAGACAAGAAGGAAAGGGTGGGCAGAAACCGGACTCTGCAGGGTCTTGTGGGCCATGTTAAAGCATCTCTGAGCTTTATTTTTAAAGCAGTAGGAACCATTAAAGGGTTTTTAACTGGGCAGGGTGAGAACATCAGATGTGCCTTAGCTTATGTTTATAGCTAGGAATGATTCGCTTGAGGTGCTGGGCACATAGCTGGCACCTGAGGCCTGCAGAGTGAAAAGTCCAGGGCAGCTGGCCCTCAGAGGCCTTCTCAGAGTTACTGATTTCAGGGAGGAAAGGTCCTTCCCCACTGGAGAAGGTGGAAGCACAGGGGGAAATTACATTTCCCATCCATTCTAGCTCCTCCGCTCCCAAGCCCGCAAGCAAGGGTAGAATCCAGGGTATCTAAAGCACCTAGCTGGACACAGAGTGGGAGCTCTGATAGCGGTGGTGGCATACTTGTTCAGAAGCAGGTTTGGAGAATTTGGCAACTTGCCAACAAGTTGGATTCTCTTTCTCTGAACTTTGTTGGAATTGAGGCTTTGGGGTTCCTGGCACTGAGTGAGGGCTCAGTGAGTATTTGAAGAATGGACAAACAGGTGAATAACACAGTTTCAGATTACACTTTAGGCTTTTATTTCCTCCACTCACAGCCCCCAGACCTTCAGAGAGAGTGCTCCTATATCTGTTAACATGCTATATGTTCTTGAGAAAGTCCCTTCCCCTCCCAGGGCCTCAGATTTTCCATGGCAGTGGGGAGAAGAGGAGCAAAGCAGATAAACGACAGCCCGTTCTCTTACAGTTGTACAAATCGTGCATCTGGTATTTTTCAGTAGCCCAGATGTTAAGGATTTATTTCCCAAGCTCAGCTAGGGGATAGGAGTGGGGGCCCCTTCAGTTCTGTTGTTGGCCTCTCCCACCCTATGGCTTCTGGGCTATTGCTGAAGTGGGTCTAGGATTCAGTATCCAATGCTTCCTTCTTGCAGCTGCTCACAGCTCTGCCAGCCTCTGGCCACAAGCAACCGTTTCCTCTTTGTTCACCCTCAGTGCCCGGGCCGCCTGGCTTGGCGATACCTCAGGTCCATGAAGGTGCCCCAGGGAAGTGTGCAATTCTTACCTTCCAATCTGACTTGCTTCAGAGCTGGCAGGGTGACGACCCTTGGTGCGTGTGTGTGTGTACGCGCGCACACACACACACACACACACACACAGCCATAGAAACAAAGGAAAACCTGGTGAACCCTCAGAGAAGCAGGTTTCTTAGCAACTTCGCAGCTTTTGTTCCTGAGCCACTTGGAATTGAAGTGGCATCTGATCTCCTGCCAGCTCCTGCCTGGGGGTGGGAGGAAGGGGATGGCGGGTCTGCCTTTGCTAGAGCTGAGAGCTAAACTCCCCCACCATTGGCCTCCCAGCCTGGGATGCTGAGGCTGGAATCCTGAGGTTGTCCACATTCTGGGCAAAGTCCCTGCCGATGGCATCTTTACAGCTGCAGGACCCCAGGGCTTGGTCATGGAGACAACAAACGCATACTGAAATAGTACTGCGGGCCCATGGCGGTCACGCTGGGTGCCCGTAGTAGTTGGCGCCACCTTTGTCCTCAGCCCTGGAAATACAGAGATGAATAAGGAATAATCTGCCACCTCTTTAGCCTAGTGATGAGGACAAACAATTGTCTGATTACCGCTGCACTGCTTGTGACTTTACCCCAGGCCTCTAGAATGAAACCAAAGCTTCTTAGCCAGGTCCTAACGGTTCTTCAGGGCTGGCGCCTGCCTGCTTCTCCATCACCTCCCCAGCAGGGCTCAGGCCCTCACAGGCCAGGTCTTCCCCACCTCCGGAACCAAGTGGTCCCTCTACTTGGAATGTACTCCCTCTTCTCTGCAGCTTTTTGTCAGAGTTTAGGTCCCAGCTTAGCTCACCTTCGCCCCCAAGACACTTCAGGCCCACCCTGTCAAGAACAGTGCCCCCCCCCCGCGCATCATTCTATCGAGTCACTGTGAACCCGGAATTAGCAAACACTGAACCACGCCCCTAGGGGACGCGCAGGGGTAGAATCCTGCGAGCCTCCGCTCAAAACATTTTCATCAAGCGATCAATACATAACCTTGTTTTATGTGCATTTCTGTTTAAAGACACATTATTTAATATAGGTCATTAATTTGTCAACATCCAACTCAGGGCTAACACTGTAATGCCTCAATGAAATTTACTTAACACACACATGTTCTCCTTAGGCACATCTTAGCGCTTAGGAACACTATACGGCACCTCAGCGCTATGCCTGGGAGGCATTTTAAACCAAAATCACCAACAAAATGCACCAAAAAAAATTGTAAAACATGACACCACATGCCCGCGAAAAGCATACTTCTTTAGAGCATGGACGCTGGACCTCAGCTGGGAACATGCACATTGGCGGACTCCAGTTTTTCGCCATTCTGCGCGTGCGCATGTCCGCGGGTGACCTCCGAGATGCTGCGGGTATCGGTTCTGAGGTTACAAATCCAGTTTGGTGATTAGGCACATTTGCAAATACAACACCAGTGTAATAATAGGAGTACTTTAATTATTTTATTCATTGTTTTGTTGTCTTTCTCTTCCATTTAACTTCAGGAGTACAAGGCTCTCTCTCTAGTCCATCATTTTATCTCTAGCTCTCATCAGAACTGGTTTGGACCTCGGAAATTGCTGAGCTGCTGATGAACACGCCACCTACCTCTGCAATTTTAGTTTTGTGAAATTGATCAATAACTCTTATTATTTATGTCACCATTAGCTGCATATTTAGTTAAGGTCAAAACTAAATAGCTTTCCAGGGCTGACTTTTCCTAACGAAACTCATGAAAGACTGATGTATGAATAAAAAATTGTTCATTTTTTTGATAGACATTAGACCCAGTGACCCAAATATCCAGTAACCCAAATAATTATGTGCAACCTCCTAGTATCAGCTGAATTATTTGTTAGGAGAAGTTTGCTTGGTGATCTAGCGTTAAAGAAGGGAGAAGCAAGGGCACCTGGGTGGCTCAGTGGGTTAAGCATCCAACTTCGGCTCAGGCCATGATCTCACGGTTCATGGGTTCAAGCCCCACATGGGGCTCTGTGCTGACAGCTAGCTCAGAGCTCAGAGCCTGGAGCCTGTTTCAAATTCTGTGTCTCCCTCTCTCTCTGACCCTCCCCTGCTCATGGTGTCTCTCTCTCTCTCTCAGAAAAAAAAAAAAAGAAGGGAGAAGCAGAAAGGTCTTAGGGCTCTTTTGTTTCCCATAAAAGAGCACACATACACCCCACCCCCATACATAATAGGTTTCTGAAAATGTGACTAACGTCCAAAGTAAAAAGTCAAACAAAAAATGTATCCCATCAACAGGACACATTTGCTCCTAAGGAATAAAAAAGGGAATATCAGTTTCTTGTTTCTTTTTTTTTTTTTTTTGCTTGCAGTGTTGTTACTTTATTATTATTTTTTTTACAAATAGTTTATTGTCAAATTAGTTTCCACATAACACCCCGTGCTCATCCCCACAAGTGCCCACCCCCCCCACCCCCCACATCCATCAGTCCTCAGTTTTTGTCAGCATTCAAGAGTCTCTTATGGTTTGCCTCTCTCCCCTTCCCCCACCGTTTCCCCCCTTCTTCTCCCCCTTGTTCCTCCGTCAAGTTCCTCCTAATCCTCCTATATGTGCAAACATATGATATTTGTCCTTCTCTGCCTGACTTATTTCGCTCAGCATAACACCCTCAAGGTCCATCCATGTTGCTACACATGGCCAGATTTCATTCCTTCTCATTGCCATGTAGTATTCCATGGCATAGATAAACCCCATCTTCTTGATCCATTTGTCCGTTGATGGACACTTAGGCTCTTTCCGTGTTTTGGCTATTGTTGAGAGTGCTGCTATGAACATTGGGGTACATGTGCCCCTATGCTTCAGCATTTCTGTATCCCTTGGGTAAATTCCTAG